CAGTTTTACTTCATCATATCTCACGCACGCTCGGAACGTCAGAAGTGGGTGACTTGTATTGGATTAATGGCCCAACAGGGATTGGCTCACCCTACGAATGTCCCTTGAGACACAAGACAACTGGGATTGGCCACTCGATGAACGTCCCCCATAACCCAAGCCAACTGGGGTACCTTCCCACAGGTCGAAGCGAGGTTCGTCCCCAACAGGACCAGCTCACATCATCAAGGCCTAGGGGACGCATGTATCCAAGGGTAGAGGGGCACCCTGGCTAGACCTGCACAATATCGGGCCGGCCCGCCCATATAAATGGGCAGGTTTGGACACATGCTTTAGCCCACCGGGCCGGGGCCGGCCGGGGCCGTTTAAAATATTGGCGGGCTTGGGTTGTAATATAGGCTCGGTCGGGCCTAAAAGCCCGGCCAGTAAACATATTATATATATTATATTATATATATTATTCTATATATAATTATACAGTATATGACTATACGTATAAAACTTAAAATACTTGGAAGTACTAAGGTTTGGACTTTGGAGACCAACAAACTTCCTAATGGCTATTTGTGTTCTACTATTTAAATTGTTGAGTCTTTTTGGAGATACTCTTGACTATTTCCGCTGCACATTGTGAATCTGTGATTGTGCTTTTGATTATGGAATATGGATGCTTATTTGGTATTTGGATGCTTTTTGTTTTCCAGAATCGTTTTGTGTATAGTATTTGAACGTATTCTTGTGCTCAAAATGTGTTGTGAGTACATTAATTATTTAATTGCATTTAAAATTCTGTGATGTTATTTTATAAATGTTTTCATTTTTTTAACAGTGTTGACAAAAGGATATTTTCCGGGCCCAAAAGCCCGGTGGGCAGCCCGGCCCGCTCTCATGGGCGGGCTCGGACATATGAGGAGGCCCGTTTTACCGGGCCGGGCCAAGCCCGCCCACTACAAGTGGGCAGATTTTTTAGAATAAGCCCGGCCCGAGCCCGTATTTGTGCAGGTCTGACCCTGGCCCAGGAACAACGCGAGACGCTCGTCTCGTAGGAATTTGGACCCGGCAGGAAACAAGAAGCAAGCTCATCGGGCTGCTCGTCCCCACCCCTTGGCGGGAAGCCAAGATCCTGGCGGGAAACGCATTTAATGCAGAAGATTTGATGGTTGGGATTGAGCCATCCACAGCCTGCCACATCGGCGTATCTAACTACCCATTTGCGGTACAAATTGTAACATTTATTTCATTGTAAAGGGTTGACAACTTAGCACTCTAGCATTATAGCATTCATAGCAGCTCGTAGCTTAGTTCTGTACGAACGGCCCCTATTGTATAGTAATTGCTCACTTGTTTGGACTTAATAGAATATAGCCTGCTTGCTACTATTACTTGGCCCATCTAGCTTGTTTTAATCACTTATTCACCTCATCTCCATTCAAAATTCTTGGGTTACAGGTTGGGCCTACGGATTGAAGAAATGAACTTCAACAGTTTCTATGATTTCATTACTACTCTAAACACTAGTCACATTTTTACAAACAATTTTTATTTTAGTCATGACCCGGTAGGAACTACTTCATAAATAAATTTTGCATTATTTGGGCAGGAACTACTTCGTAGTGGTTAAAAAGGCTACGAAAAATGGGTGCAACGGGAATCTTAGCCCGGCCTTGACAAAAGTGAAATGCACCACCACCATTCTAGGACGGTGGCGCAGCGGATGGAGACCGGCGTGTAAGCGAAAGTCAACCGGGTTAGGAATTAGAGCGGGAATTTGGGCCCTGAGCTTGGGCGAGAGCCTTTGCCTCCGTTTTCGGATGGACCTCAAATCCAGATGATGACGAGGGATTTCATCTGGGGGCCTCTCATCGCTACCACCATATCATCACTAGACTTGGCGTCATCAGAATCGATGCCCGAGGTACTCTCTGTGGAATCGTCGGATTTGGCGTCATCAGTGTCAGTGGCAGAAGGGGTGTCACCAGCCGCATTCTCTGCTACGGCGCTGGTGCCCACCATGGTGTCAATAACCGTATTGGTCTTGTCCCCCCGACCCATTTCATTGACGATGGGGGCCGAACCAGAGGAACCAGAAGAGCCAGAGGCGCTAGAACCCTCAGACATCTTACCGAAACAAAAAGCTGAGGGGAGAAAGGAAGAAGGAAAAACGGAAGTTACGTGAGCGAACTTGCAAATTAGGGTTCTAGAGAGAAGGCAGAGCAATTGGGCAAGGGAGCAAAAATTCCAAAACCCGGAACCAGGGGCCCAAGACCTTATTTATAGGCTGAAGGCACCGTTTCGCGGGCCAATTAGAGGAGGACACGTAGCGAGGAGCATCCCCAGGGACACGTGTCATGCAGCGATGGAACATTAGGTAATCATGAATTCATGACATTGCCTGGGGAACTTAATCGACAACTGCAAAGAACCGTCAAATCGTACTTTGGGAACCAGCGAGCCCCAAACATCATACGCTGAGCGGGGGTAAGACCGAATGGCGGAAAAGCACATTTTCTTTCTTATGTCCCGAGCACGCTCGGAAGTGGGGACTTATGTTGGGATATTATGGTCTGGCCCAATATATCGGTCCAAAATATCCCTAGGGCCCAAGAGTGAGGCCAAGCCCAAGGTGGAGCGAGGAGGTTCCGTACAAGATTTGGGCAACTAAAGAAGACACCCATTCGGCACATCCCGAACGGGACATAATTCACACTTGGATAACTAGTGTACTTCTGGACTGATATCTCACCGGGTCCCAATACCGATCGGGGATTCATACAAGTGGCAGACTGCATTTAATGATAGAGTATGAAGGTCACAAGTAGAAGCATGGGTGCATAAGTGGCATGGAAAGCAACCAATCATATTGGATCATCCCATACCCCCACCTACCCACATCTAGTATAAACAGCAACATTTATACCATTGTAAGGGGTTAGCATTTGTTTACTCACAAGCACTATAGTTCATTCTAGCTCTTGCAACAGAGAGGTCCACAAGAATAAATGAAGCATAAGAGTCCAAATTTATTTTTATTAAAAAGAAAATTCAAAGTTTCGAGAATGCTCAACAATCTCGATCTATTTATGATCAATTGTTATATTACACATTAATGAGTAAGAACATTAATCGTTACATAAGCGTTACACTCATTGCTACATGTGGTACAAGAATATGTGCAACCGAGTTTATCTTCCTAATAATTATTTTCATTTCATTTTTAGCTTGTTAAGTTTTGTGTACTTATTTACGATTATATATTTATTAATTTGAAATTAGACTTTTATGTGTTACCGGTTTAATGATGAAACACAGTAATAGTTAGTTTTTTTTTCTTAATGGTTAATTGACGACGTACCACAATTGCATCGATGTAATACTAATTCTTATATCAGTTCTCCTAAAAACTTCTAGAACCGAATCAATATGAGATTAGCGGTTCTTCAAATGGTTCCTAATTTTCTTTCAAGAATTGAACCAATGCCACCCCTACTTTTTTCTTCGTAAAACAAATTATAAAATATCACTTTTTATTTTTTTAAGTTTCTTTTTTTATCACTATTAATGTAGAATCTCCTTGTTCAACTTTATTTAACGAAAACGATAAAAAAAACAAAATTTAATGTTCAAATCTTGCATATTAAATACCATCCTGGTACCCACCTTTCAAATCGGCCGGTACTAATCCTGAACTTGGTGGCCGGTTTGTGATTTTGAGTAAATAATTAGCCAAATTCTGCAACCAGATCTATACGTACTTGTGGCGCGTAGAAGACATCAGAAAAGTCCTTGGAAATCTTTGGTGAGGTGAAGAGTCAATTGGAGAGAATTAATGTACTAAGAATGAGTTAAAAGTCCACGATAATCTATGATTTTAGAAATCAATATGAATGAACGAAAATTTGAATATGCCTAGAGTCCTAGACTTCTATAGACTTTTAAAAGTCTACATTGAATACACCTAGACTTTTATATACTTTTAAAAGTCCACAATGAATACACCTAAACTTTTAAAATACATAGACATTTAAAATTTTGCCACTAATTCCTAATACAACACACCCTCTTACTTTTTGTTATATTGAAGAAAAAATGGCATATATATTACTATTTGACATTTGATTTCCAAAAGTATTACTCCTTTTCCTTTTCCCAAAAATGTGATCCTAACTTAATTGGTTATTGTATTTTACGTACAAAGTATTTAATACCATTTTATCTCTTTCCATTTATCACATCGACAACATTTAATCTATTTCCATTCAAAAATCTCAGCCCATTAAACCTATTGCGTTTTCTTCCCGCATCTCTACCTCATCGATCTCATCTTCCGCCGGTAATGCCCTTCTACCGCCCACCCAAACCTCCACCAGTAGCCCTGCAACTGCCCATCCCACTATGCCTGCCGCACACAAGTCGCCGCCGCAGTGACTCCTTCATCTTCTTCTCCTTTTCTTTTTTCTGCAACTTCGACGCCCACACAATCGTACCCTTCTCGTTCACGATCGGCAACAGTGCTTGGAAATCTTGATCAAATTTGGGGTGTATTATTTTCATATCAAGGGCGATTTGGCGGGTTTGCTTGGTATCAGGCTGGGTGAGGCTAGGTAAGGGGTTGGGGTTAGGGCTGACATAGTCAGGTGCGCCTGACCAGAGCTGCCGTGCGGACTTGCCATTTGAGGGCCTTCCCGATGGAATTTTTTGATGATTTTTTAGCATGTTCATCATCATCAAGTTTAGTTTATGCATATCAAATTTCAGCTCTAAATTCAATCGGAAAGACAGTCAAATAAATTCTTGAAACATACAACGCATCATATATGTGACAACGTCACAACGATAGAAATTTTGAACATAATTAATCACTAAGTATCCCTAAGTCACATTTTTGTTGATGAATTTTGTTTAGTACTCCAATATTTTAAGAAAAACCATTAAAATATCTTATTAATGGGTAGTCATTACCTAAGCGCAAGGTAAAGGAAATAAAAATTGTTTTTGAAGAGCAAATATAGAAGTAAACCCTAACAGTAGAAAATCCTAAAACAAGCGACGGGCCCCAACATCCGTCTTCACAGCTGCCCACAAGAGGCGAAGCGACTGTGGAGTTCCGCTTCCACCATTGTGATCCACCTTCTGCAGAAATATTCTCCAAATGATCATCGACTCCCTGCTACTCAGCTTAGTCGGAAGCGCAACTGTTTGATTACTTTAAACGGAAACCTAACGCTCTTACTCCGTCTGCAAGCTCTACATTGACTCCTCAGTCCTCAGCATCTCGCCATTGCCGGAAAGTATCTTCGTTCTGAACGAATTCTGTGCGTATGTATCTATCTTTGGCCGTGTCCGTTTTTTTTTTCGATTTCGATAACACAGGATTTATCAATTGCTATGTAGAGCCTAAATTAGTACTCCGTGTGAAAGCCTTTCTTGATAGCCTAAAAATTGTCTCCGTGTGAAAGAATTACAACTAAATACATGCATGACGGAATTTGAGCCTTTCTTTATCTAACCATTGGCTGTTAATGGCTTAAAAATATAGAAATGAAGATTGACCAAACATGAAATGCGAACAGCGGAAATCTATAGGTTTCTCTGGAAGCTATGACGTGTAAGCTTTCTGATTGATTTTCATGCTTATAATAAAATGTACTCTGTAAAATGTAGGTCCATTCAAGGTTGTGATTGCTGCATTGTTCTAGATAAAAATGGCTCCAAGTCCAAGAGTTGTAAAAGCCTTTCGGGCAATGAAGGATATTGGAATCTCTGAACACAAGGTGAAGCCAGTGCTAAAAAACCTTCTGAAGTTATATGATAAAAACTGGGAGCTCATTGAAGAGGAGAATTATAGAGCCCTAGCAGATGCCATTTTCGAAAAGGAAGAAGCACAGGTCTTCACTTTTCATATTTCCTTTTGTTGTTCCAACCCCCATTATGAACTTTTCTCTCTTTCACCTTTTTCTTATTCATATTACCTTTTATTAAATAAACCTTTTGTTTTTTACAAATTGCAGGCTGTAAAACCCAAGAAGCCTGAGAATATTGAAGTAAGCGGGATTCAATTCTGACTAGTTTTCATTTTCATGCTAATAATAGTTTAGGATATCATACATTACATTGTTGGTGAGTTCTCTTGATTGTTTGGTGTCCTTCTCTCTGACATGTCTAGTTAGCGGGAGCTTTGGATGAAGAAGCAACACTCGAGGAGCCGGAACGACCGCTTAAGAGATTGCGTTTAAAATATCAAGAAAGTCAGCCTGCACCTTCCCAGAACGACTCTAGTGCCACCTTGACCACCACTGCATTGTTAAAGCCTAAGCTTGAGGTTGATGATCTTCCCAATGATCATCACAGTCATAGTCGCTCCCAGGGTGGCACTAAGGACTTGCCTCAGCCCAGTCATGGTGGCAGGGCAGGTTCTTCTCATCCCATTCAAGCCAGAAACAAAGGAAAACAACCTATGATGACTGCTGGTCCTCTTGCTTTGATCAAGCCCAAGGATGAGCCTTTTACTGATGATATGCCACACTACGAGGCCCCTATTGCTATTATTCCTGCTGGTAATAGGTTTACTTGGTGATGAATATCACTGCTTCAGTTAACTATTATTCTCTACTCTCTCTCTCTCTTTGAAAAATGAAAGTTCTGTTTCCAGAACTTCTTTCCCTAAAAGGGGATCTGGTTTTGAAAGTTAACTTCAAAATTAATTAAAATTTCTCTAATACCAAGAGAAAAGGGGTCATAATAAATTATTCTAAGCAATACCTGAAATTAGTTTTACGGCTATAACTGTACTAGTGATAATCTGTAACTTCTCAAAACTTGTACATTGAAACTGAATCAAGAGAAAAGGGGTCGTAATAAATTATTCTAAGCAATACCGGAAATTAGTTTTACGGTTATAACCGTACTAGTGATAATCTGTAACTTCTTAAAACTTGTACGTTGAAACTGAATCATAAAAAGTAAGAATTTTATCCTTATTCTAGCATGATTCTTTTATGTATTTGGATGGAGTTAGTAATTTGCTGTTTTGGCTTTTGCTCTTGTTGGGTATGCCAGTATGAACTGTCCATGAATCATTCAATTTGATTATCATTTATTGCAACTTTTACAGAGCCGGTGAGCAATGGTGACGCTGATTCAGCAAACAGAAACCATTTGCCCCTAGATCAAATTGCTCACCAAGAAACCTTAGCAATAAATTCCAATGTGGGGAAATATGCAACGACTGATATTGCATCAAATCAACAGTTGGAAAAGATTGATGATCAAGAAACCTTAGCCGTTAATTCCAATGTGGGGAAAGATGCAAGGAATGATAGCACATCAAACCAGCACTTAGAAAAGATTGAAGAAGACAGACTTTCATCTAACCTGGATATTGCTTCCTCTCGGTACGGAGAAGTGAAAATCTCCATAAATTGTGCTCCTGTTGTTGGAACCAATTTTCATTTGCCTAGTTTAGAAGCGGTGCTTAAATTGATGGAAGATAAGTGCCTGAGAGCTTATAAAATTCTGGACCCAAACTTTTCTGTGACGAAGTTGATGGAAGATTTTTGTGAATGTGTCTTAGATTTGGGCACCACCAAGTTGTACAATGAAAATCAGGAAGCAACAAATGCAACGTCACAAGCTGTTAATCAGCTGGAAGCATCTTTAATGGAAGATAAAAATTTCGAATCTTCGAGTATGCTTCCTGATTCTACAAATGAACTGTTGAACTTTGAAAATGATGCTTTATTGGCACAACCACAAATGACAAATCCACCACTATCTAGCAACGGTGTACATAGCAACACACTACCAGATGAATGCGTTTCTGAGAAAAATAAAATATGTGCCGAGGATTATATTGAAAAAACAAAACATCAGAGTATGGCTGTGGTGGGGTCATGTAATTTTTCTTATGATAAAGTCTCGGTTCTCCAAGGTGTTATTGATATTACTAATGGGCAAGAGAAGATGATGATTTCAATAGTGAATGAGGTTAATAATGAGTGTCCCCCACTGTTCCACTATATACCTCAGAATGCAGTTTTTCAGAAGGCATATGTAAATTTATCTTTGGCTCTTATTGATGATCATCATAGCTGTCCAACTTGTGCTGGTGATTGTCTGTCATTGGATGCGCCTTGTGCTTGTGGTCAACTAAGAAGTGGTGCTTTTGCATACACCAAACATGGCCTTATCAAAGAAGAGCTCCTGCAAACATGTGTTTCATTGAATCAGGATCCCAAAAAGCACAACCAGTTCTTTTGCAGGGAGTGCCCCGCCGAGAGATCCAAAAATGATGACACTTTAGAACCTTGCAAAGGTCATTTGGGGAGGACATTCATTAAGGAATGCTGGTGGAAATGTGGGTGTAGCAAGCAGTGTGGGAATCGTGTGGTCCAACGTGGAATAAGTCGAAAGTTACAGGTCCTACTTTTCACATAGCCGGAAGGATTGAACTAAATTAATGTGGATTATAGAAAATGTCTGGGAAAGGAAAAAATGTTAACTGATGTTATTTTCTTGCGTCTGGCTTTACCTTGGAATGTATAAAAGGAAATGATATGAAATAATTTTTTAAAAACTTTTACATATGTTTAGCCGTTTAGGGTTCTTAGTCTTTATATAATAGAAATGTTTAAAATCAATTAAGTTCAAAACCAGTATAAAAAGTAAATTTATGAGTTTGAGACAATATTTTTGTTTTCCCTAACATTTTCTTTCATCTCTAATGTCCCCTATATTATCCTCTATAATTTTCTAAGTTTAAAATGAAATCTTATCATGTGGCCACATATTACTTTTTTTTAGTCAAATGACTCAAATTTGCGATTGCACTTGGTTGCCTACTATCTATTGAGTTATAAAGCATTCCAATTCATCCAGTTAGTTTCTTCAGGTATTTATGACATCTGAAGCTAAAGGATGGGGCTTGCGTACCCTTGAGGACCTTCCTAGAGGTGCATTTATTTGTGAGTTTGTTGGAGAAATTCTTACAAATGCTGAATTCTATGGCCGTGTTTCAAAAAGCCCTAATGGTGAGAAGCATTTTCATCCTGTTCTGCTTGATGCTGGTTGGGGTTCTGGAGGCTTACTAAAAGACGAAGAAGCTCTTTGTCTAGATGCCACACACTATGGAAACATTGCAAGGTTTATTAATCACAGGTAATGCTTATCATAGAAAAAGGGTTGCATGTTCTCTATGATAGTAATTAATTTATTTATCAAGATATATGTTCAGCTTTCTTCTTTCTTATTGTGGTGATAGTACAGATGCTTTGATTCAAATTTGGTAGAGATTCCCATTGAAATTGAGAGCCCCAATCGCCACTACTATCATGTATGGACTTATTTTTTCTGATGATCCTGATTTTGGTTTTATTTTAAGCATGATTAGTCAAATGTGGAATTTTCTTTGTAAACGTTATGCAGCTGGCTTTCTTCACTGCAAGGGAAGTTAAAGCATTGGAAGAGCTTACTTGGGTGAGTAGTTGCAACACGTTTGATTAGTTCGTTTTGGGTCAAATTAGTACTCATAATAGTTGTGTCTTTAGTGTCTAAAATGTCTAAGCATGCAAGACTATTCAGTTATAAATAATGGGTAAATATGTACATGTCGTGGCATGCATGACTTGAACATGATTCCCATCATCTGCAAAACCATACATTAATAGAATCATATGTAGCCGTGATATAAGGGTGGGTACATACTCATAATAATCACAATAACGATGTTTTTAATAAATAATTAAAAATGAACTGACAATAAGATTGAAGTGGATTTAACCAAAGTGCAATTTTTGGAGACAAAAAATGGATATATTTATTTTGATTTGTGATTTTGTGTTTTTCCATTATGTGATACGCTTATACCCTTATTTATATTTATAGTGTCATACATATGACAGTAAGTCATATGTTGACTTGTTAACTAAGGAGTAGTTGTTTCAAAATCATATGTTGTTGGAACTTTATTTGACCTTTTGTAATATCTTATGACTTACTCCCTCCGTCCCTTAAAACTTTGCCATCTTTCCGTTTTGGGACGTCCCAAAAAAACTTTGCCACTTTCCCTTTTAATCAATTATTTTATGGTTTCTGTTATTTCTCTCCCCTCTGCACAAACCTCAACCACACGGTTTTTACTTTATTATTCTCCGTACCGGTCAACTTTGGCAAAGTTTCAAGGGACGTAGGTAGTATTATATATGAGACAGTTTAACAAATATGGCAGCATACCAAGGTGAAAAGATGCATATTATCCACTAGATAGGCAACTAACATGAGTTGAATCCATATTTTGTGTTGACACTGCTTGTTTTGATGTTTGCAGGATTATGGGATCGACTTTGATGACCTCGACCATCCTATAAAAGCATTTCAGTGCGAATGTCAAAGTCAGTTCTGCCGAAATATAAAGCGATCAAGCAGTAAGTAATGATTTGGTGAAAGAGGGTAGAACTATGCAAATTCGTCATTCTTCCAAGTAGTAGTATGTAACCTGCAGGCTTATTAATGTATTCTTGTAGGGTCTAGAGGAAGGAGATGAAACAAGACCATTTTGGGGATAGCTGGAAGCCCTTGTGAATCTGCTGTTTTTGCCAAAAGCCAAAATTGTTATTCCATATTATATAACCTTTTGGCAGTTTTTTTGTAGTTGTTCAGTGTACATTAATTGCAGCAAATATTTAAGGTGTAGGGCCTAGGGAGGGGATTGACTGCTGAAGTGAAATATTTTCAGGGCAGCATCTGTATGACTCATATCTCCTGTTTCTGTAACTACCATCGGTTATTATTATACTTCGTGAAGTAGATGAATATATGATGGTAATGTTAGTTAAGTCTCCAGCTTTTATAACTACCACCGAACAACCTTTTTTAAATTATTTCAACTTTCAAGAGATACAAGCTGCAAGGCTGAGAGGTCTTTTGGCTATGTTTGGTAGATGAAGAAACAGGGGAAGATAAAGCAGGGATGTGAAAAAAGAAATAAGATAAATGGGTCAGAAATTCAGAATTCAGAAATGGATTATTTTCTGAACTGTTATTATCTTAATTGGTTATTCATATAAATAAGCTACGGATAAAGTAGAATACTACGTAAACTAGTTATTTTTTTGTTTCATCATGGAATATACAAAGAACTGAAGAAGTATAATAATCTAAATGATTAATGATTTGGATTTGTTTTTAACAAAAACAAATGATTTGGAATTGTTTACATAAGCTAGGCTAGTAGGCTTTGTGGTCATTATTTTTGTCCACATATATAACTAGTCACTTTTCTTATATATAATAAACTAGCCACTTGTATCAATTAATCAAATCGTTAGCCAACTAGCCACTTGTATATTAATAATTTCTCTAATATCCTTCAAAAATCAATCAATATACGAAAAAACTTTTCCTTGAAGAATCCCTTGAAACACTGTGAACGCATCAGTCTCAAATTCCACATCGTGTCAGTCAGCATCCGCCCCTTCAATAGCATCCTTCAAACCTGCGGCTTCTCTTTCTGCTAGGGGTCATTCTGCTTTGACCAATACTCCTCTTGCTTTTATGAACTCGCCCTGATCATTCCTCCAACCCATCCCCACGCCCGAATATCTCCGGTTGGGTCCACCGCCGCGTCAACGTTCACTTTAATAATCCCCGTCCTCGGTTTTCGCCATACTTTGTCCCTACCCATCCTCGGTAGTCGCTTCAGAAGTCCCAGCTGTTGTGCCTCCGTCGAGCTAGCGAGCACACTTGTAGCACAAGTGATCACCCCTGCCGCTCCCAACAACTCATTCTTCCATATCATGGAGTTCCGCCTCTTCCATATGCTCTAGAGAAGGGATATAAATTTGCATTTGTGCTCTTGGTTGGTTTGCTGTAGCAGCTGTTTAATCCAGTCCCCAATCTGCATTGCATCCGCTGCTCGTGAAAAACCCGCTTGCAGCCACACTTCTTGAGCACATTCGCAGGACCAAAAAACATGCTCCATGGTCTTAGCTTCCATGCGATAAAGTTTGTAGGCCTCCGGTAACTCAACTCCCCTCTTCCGCAAGTTGTCTACTGTTAGCCAGGAACCATCTAAAACCTACCAGATTATGGGGAAATCACTTCCACATCCAACAAAGCTCAAAACTTTTTGCGAATTTTATCGGCTCGGATAGCTTCCCCCGCCGCCGCGCTGCCCAGGCCAAGCCTGGGTATAAACCCCACCCACTTCCGCCCTCCGGGGAACCAAATCTCAAGGGGCAGATCAGAGTCATAGAATCATCATCTTCGGAGCGGCGGCTGGGGAGGTATAAGATGGAGGAGAGTGCTGTTTCCACTTCATCATCGGAGCACCGTCGGGTACTGCTGGCCGACGTGGTGACTGATTGCATTGGAAGGTGGTTTCAGGACACCCTCAAGGAGGCCAAGGCCGACGATATCTCCATGCAGGTCCTTGTGGGTCAGATGTACTGTAATGGGTATGGTGTACCCGTAGATGTCGAGAAGGGAAGAGCATGGATAAGCAGGGCATCAAGAATGCGTTCCTCAGCATGGAAAGTCAGTGATAAACGCCCAGGGTATAACATTAGTGATTCAAATTTTGATGATAATGCTGACGATGTTAAATGAGAGCAACAATGCCTAATCTTGGGAAATTCAAACAAGAAATTTCATTTGCATTTCATGCACCACCACTTACCTGCAGTCCCATTCATTGGCGAACTAGTCCTATCTATCACCCTTAGCTCCTCGAGCTGTCGTTTCATTTGTTTTTATTGCCTCTTGTTTCTCTGTTTTTTATATTTCAATTTGGTGGTTTCTGTTTGTTGTTGATGGATTTATTTTATATTTCAGAGACATAAGATGTTTATTTTTCTTGAGAAAGAACGACATGATGGAGAATATAGGAGGAATTGATATTCTTCTTATTTCTTGTAGAGTTACTGGACCGGCTCAGACCTCAATCACCATAGCCCAAGGGCTAGCTCACCATTCACCACCAAGGAGTCAACAAGGGAAGACCAGAGGGCATCTAGTCTCAAACACTCAGTATAGTGCCCAACCCTCCCAAACCAGACTGCCCAGAGAAAACCCACCGGAGAAGAAAACCCCCCACAAGACTACCAGTACAGAGTGAAGCCCACAGAAGGACCCCAAAGGTATCACCGGAGGGTAGCCGGAGCTCAAACCCTAGATGATACCAGCACTCTCTCACTCTAGAACTGGGGTAACCGGAAAGACCTCTCATCGGATAGAGAGAGCAAGGGGACGATCAAATAGTGGATTCCAGAAGGAACGGACAATATAAGGTAAGGGCCACAGAGACATGGGCTTGGGCAAAGACAAAAGGAGGGCAAGTGGGCTAAGTCAGGCGGACAGCCCAAACGGGCCAGTAGGATAAGATTAGCAGACAGCTCATTAAATGGGATGGACCATGGGCCAGTGAGGTGGACCAATACCAACTCACAATCTCCACCTTATTGGTCCCCCTGGTGGTGTAGAGCACAACGTGAATGGGAGTATCATCATCGCCGGTTTTGTACCTGTTCTTATCTAGCCACAGTCTAAATTAAGAGTTCGTTTACAAGACAAAAGTTTTTCAAAATTGAGACATTTAGTCCCCATATCTGCAGGGTTAAATTCTGAAGGTATCTTGGACAGCTTTATCCAACCTGCATCCACAATATTCCTAATAAAATGGAACCTGACATCAATATGCTTGGTCCTGTCATGGAATACAGGATTCTTGCATAATTGGATAGCAGACTGACTATCAGAGTACACTGTCACAACCTGCTTAAGAAAACCAATTTCAGTTAGCATTGGTTTAAGCCAAATAGCCTCTTTAAAGGCCTCAGTGGCTGCCACGTATTCAGATTCAGTAGTGGACAGTGCAACAATAGGTTGAAGTTGAGATTTCCAACTTATGCAGGAACCACAAAGAGTAAAAATGTAGGAAGTAGTAGACTTTCTATTGTCCCTATCATTTGCATAATTGGAGTCAACATAGCCAGTAAGTAAAATGCCAGTTTCAGTTTTAGAAAAAACAAGACCATGAGAAGGTGTACCCCTAAGGTATCTAAGGAGCCATTTAAGGGCAGTCCAGTGAGACATACCAGGGTTTGCCATATATCTACTTAAGCAACTAACAGCATAGGCTATATCAGGCCTTGTGCTTACCATGAGATACATGACTGACCCTATAGCACTGGAATAGGGTACAACCTTCATCCTATCTATCTCAGGAGCAGTCCTTGGGGACTGATCCTTGCTTAGCACAAAATGGGGTGCTAAGGGAACATTCACAGGTTGGGCAGAGTTAATTTTGAACTTTTTCAAGACCTTTTCAAGATAGGAGGTTTGGTTCAGGGTAAGGGTACACCTACTCCTATCCCTAAGAATATTAATCCCTAGGATTCTCTTAGCATCTCCAAGATCTTTCATAGCAAAGTTTTCACAAAGGCACTTTTGAACTATCTTAATAGCATTCACAGAGGGGCTAATGATAAGCATGTCATCAACATAGATTAACAAGAAAACAGGTACAGCAGCAGTATTCTTAAAATACAAACAAGGGTCAGAATCAGACCTTTTGAAACTCAGGGAAGACATACACTGGTCAAACTTGATATTCCATTGTCTGGGAGACTGTTTCAGGCCATAGAGGGCCTTCCTAAGTAGACAGACATGTCTAGGGTACTTAGGGTCAATAAAACCCTCAGGTTGGCTCATGAAAATCTGTTTATCTAGTTCACCATGAAGGAAAGCAGTGGTAACATCCATCTGCTTCATCTCCCAGTCATTATGGGCAACTAGGGCAAGCATCATCCTAATTGTTGTGAATTTTACTACTGGAGCAAAAATTTCAGCATAGTCTACCCCTTCCTTTTGTGTGAAACCTTTTGCCACTAACCTAGCTTTAAACCTAATGTCATTTGGTTCTTCTTTAACTTTGAAAAGCCATTTGCACTCAACAACAGAACAATTAGGAGTCCTAGGAACTAGGGTCCATGTTTTATTCAACTTAAGAGATTCTATCTCACTTTGCATAGCACATAGCCAATTTTTAGATTCTCTAGAGGCAAGGGCTTCCTGGTAGGTTTTAGGCTCATTCAACTCAAGAGTTTCAAAAACAGAGAAAGCAAATAATGAAGTATCATACAGGTGAAAAGCATAGTCAGTCATACTATCAGAAATCCTCTTAATGTTTCTTCTAGTCCTATCTCTGGCTAACACATAATCATCTAGACTCTCATTCTCAACTTGGATTTCTCCAAGTTCTTCATTATCAGCAAAATCAGATTGAACAATCACATCATGCAAATTTTCATCATTACTACTGGGCTGCTCCACCTCACTAGAGGTGGAGTGGGTGTCATGCATAGTGTTGGTCAAATCAGGAGTACTAGACTCATTCACCAGAGGGGAAGTAGTGGTCAGGATGGGCTCCACCTCACTAGGAGAGGTGCCATCATGCACAGTTTGAGGGTCAGTCACATGTTGAACTAAGCAGGGAAAGTCACTTTCATTGAATACAACATTTCTGCTTATGATGACCTTAAAACCACTCTGGTTCCTATCCCAGATCCTATATCCTTTAACACCTTCAGGATATCCTAAGAAAATGCATTTCTTAGACCTAGGGTCCAACTTATCAGACTGTTGATGTACATAGACAGCACACCCAAACACTTTTAAGTTTGACAAGTCCAGGGGTTTCTTAGAGAAGACAGACTCAGGACACTTACCTTCTAAAGGTACAGAGGGGGATCTGTTTATCAGGTAGGTGGCAGTATTGACAGCTTCTCCCCAAAACTTCTTGGGGAGGCCAGAAGTGGCAAGCATGCTCCTAACTTTGTCTAGGATGGTCCTATTCAT